GCTCTTGAGCAGGGGAGGGGCAGAGAGAGAGAAGGAGAGAGAGAGAGAGAGTCTCAAGAGGGCTCTGTAGTGTCAATACAAACCGTGAGATCGTGACCTGAGCCGAAACCAAGAAAGAGCTGGATGCACAACCGACTGAGCCATCAGGTGCCCCAAGAGTAGGATTTTTTTTTAAGTTTATTTATTTTGAGAGAGACAGAACACGGGGGGTGGGGGCAGGGAAAGAGAGAGAGAGAGAGAGAGAGAGAGAGAGAACTCCAAGCAGGCTCCACACTGTCAGCACAGAGCCTGATATGGGACTTGAATTCACAAACTGTGAGATCATGACCTGAGGCCAAACCAAGAGTCGGACCCTTAACTGACTGAGCCACCCAGGCACTGCCCCCCCAACAAGAGTTTGATTTTTAAATTTAATCTGCCACTTGGTTAACGCAGGAGCCTGGCCAGGGCACAGAACTGCCTCCCCACTGCCCGGTGCTCCCTGCCTCCGGCTCCTCTGTCCCCGGCGCCTGGCTGTCCTGTCGGCTCCTCGTGCAGTCTGCACACCTAAGGAATGGGGAGGTGGGGGGTGAGGGGGTCACCAAGGCCACACAACCAGGGAGGACAGAGCTGTGGGATCCTGACCCTAGGAAGCAGCTGCACGGCCTGTGGTCTGACCTGTACATCAGGTACCTGGGAAGGCTAGCTTTTTGTTCCCATTTTGCAGAGGAGGAAACTGAGGACCGGAGAGTGAGTGGAGGGGTGCCTGTGTGGGCACACGTGTCCACACATCATCTGAGATCTGTGCTGATCTACAGCCTGAGGGAGGCACGCGTGTGTAAGAGACAAGAGACAAGCCTCCTCGGGGACACTAAGTGTTGGCGTACAAAGGGGGCTCTGACCCACACAGGCGCAGCAGGCAAGAACACTGCCCTGGATCCGGCCAAGGATGGGGTGTAGGGCCATCTCAGCATGGAGCAGAGTGGAGTGACGACCATGGGGAGTCCCGGAGGTGAAAGAGGAAGAACTCTGTCCGGAACAGGCAGTCCCTCTGTCCCTGACGCGAGCACTCCCTGGGTCCCAGCGAGAAGACACAAGCACTTTTTATTTATCTAACGTCCAGCATCCAGCGTTAGGCCTCGGCTAACACTATGGCAAACGGTGCCCAAATACCATTGCAGAGCACAGGTCTATTCATCTCCGGGCATCTCTCGTGCCGGACGAGCTCTCCACGTCCATTCAACATGTTTACACTGAGGGGCGCCTGGGCGGCTCAGTCGGTGAAGCGTCCGACTTTGGCTCAGGTCATGATCTCAAGGCTCAAGCGTTCGAGCCCCGCGTTGGGCTCTGTGCTGACAGCTCGGAGCCTGGAGCTGCTTCAGATTCTGTCTCCCTCTCTCTCCCTCTGCCCCTCCCCAATTCCTGCTCTGTTTCTCTCTGTCTCAATAATAAATAAACATAAAAAAAAAAAAAAAGATATTTACACCGAGCGGGCGTATTGGGGCAGCAACATTCTGTAGTCTGGTGGTTCTCAAAGCGGGGTTTGCCTGGAACTTGCCGGCACACTCCTTCTCAGGCCCTGCCCCAGACCTACGGAACCAGAAACCCTCAGAGTGGAGCCAAGCAAAATGCGTTCTAACAAGCCCTTTGCGGGTGATTCTGACGCTCACTTAAGTTTGAAAACTACTGACTCGGCGAACGGTGCCCTCGCATATACATCATGCTGGTCGGAATGTTCCACTTAATTAAAACTACAGTCGAGGTGCCGGGAAGGGGGATGAAAGTCTGGCACAGAGATTCGGTCTCCTCTGGAAAGATAACATGTCTCTCGACCCATCTTTCCAATTTCTCAGCTAACAGACTTGTTCAAGGACACCACTGATTTCTTTCATTGGCTCTACCACCTCCGGGGAATTCTCTCCGAAAAGTGCTTTTAGAAATAACAAACACTGGCGATCGCGTTGTGAGTGTGCAGTCAGGTAACAAACACTGTTATGAAGACAGCATTTGGGGGAATGTGCGTCCCCTGAGCTGGGATTTGTCTGAAATGATTCCCCTTCTATGACCTGAATCAGGAAACCCTCAATTTTTCAGACCAGATGATAAGGAAAAAAAAAACCGTCTAAAGTAAAAGAATGTAGGCATTTGCCCTTCCCAAACCCAGTCATGCCCTTGAAAATAAGCCTTTCCTTTTCATTCAGGACATCGGCGTTAGTAACAGTTACACAAATAAGGCTTTCCAAACAAACATCTTATCTTTATATGGAAGGAAGTTTGTGAAAAAGGAATTGACGTTCTTCCCCGACGACGACGACAATACACTTTTGGGTTCCTTTCCCAGAAATTAGTAAATAACAAAATACCTTTCATTTAAAAAGGAAAAATATGGCCCTAGCAAATGCTTAAATCTAATCCATATGCCACTCATATGCTTAAAAAAGGAGACAGTTTCTAAGTCAATTTCTGCACTCATTCTGTGCCAAATAAAACAGATTTCAATAAAAAGCTTTTACTGCTCTGTTCATTCTTCAGGGTATAGAGAACTATTTATTTTTCATTCAGAATTCCCGGATTCTCTACTTAGGATACATTTTTCCACTCGGGCAGACTGTATCCACTCGGGAGAAGCATGTTCAAATCTGAAAACACATCTTATCTGGATGGAAGAAACTTTTAAGATGCTGATCTGATTCAGCATCGACATGGACCTTCGAGAACATCGGGGAAATGCAACTGTCGTTGAAGAAAGCACCCAAGTAATGATGATACTAGCGTTTGTGATTTTCACAGCTAACGTCCCTTCCTATCAGAAGCAAACCCGTGTCCCCAGAGAGAGGTGGGAGACCCGTGCTAAATGCTAGAAATATGGTCTGTGGGTTATGAAAACGTTCAGATGGATCCTGAACCCCTACTAAGGAGACACACTGCACAGCCACAGGAAGTAACTCTGTGTCAGTTTGCACATTTAATCCTTCAAGTGTGTAACCAAATGGGGTGCCATTTGTACCTAAGGCTTTTTGTAACAAAAGACAGCTAAAACATCCCAGAGAACTCAGAAGAACTTAGGGGCATTAGAAAACACTAGGGGCGTCTGGGTGGCTCAGTGGGTTGAGCGCCCTACTTCAGCTCAGGTCATGATCTCGTGGTTTGTGGGTTCGAGCCCCTGTCGGGCTCTGTGCAGAAAGCTTGAAGCCTGGAGGCTGCTTTAGATTCTGTGTCTCCCTCCTCCTCTCTGCATCCCCAATCCCCCCCAGCCCCTGCTCACGCTGTCTCTGTCTCTCCCTCAAAATAAATAAACATTAAAAATAATAAAGAAAAAGAAAAATGCTTAAGAAACACAAAAATCAAAATATTTTCTCCTGAACATGTTGCGTTCAGCAGCTTCTGCTAAAGCATGGATGGAAAAGTCTGTCGATGGGAATGGGGCGGTTTCTGAGGCCTGAAGATAAAAGATCACTCCTGCAAGGATGGAGGGATTTATTAAGATTTATGAAGACTGATGGACAGACAGACAACCAGGCCAAGAAGGAATGTGGGAAGTCTGCTATTCCAGAGAACCACTTAGGCAACTCCTAACCATGACCCCAGGCCAAGCCCCCCGTCTGGGAGGTACAGACTTAGTTTCTAGTTTATTTTAAGGAAAAGCCGTTTTATGAATAAGCAAAAAAAAGAAAAAGAAAACCAAACAAACAAAAGGGTTCAAACAACCACTAGCAGGAATGTGAAGCTCTCGGTCTATATGAAGCAGGGACAGGCTGGGTGACGCTAAGGCAGAGGGAAAGAGTCAGGAAATGTAGCCCCTGCGGGAGGATTAATGTGTGATCTATCAGGCCCCTGTCTGTGGCAGGCTGTCCCCACCCCCAGGGAGCTGGGCCACCAGCCACTGAGAAACCTCCTTGCTTCTGAGCAATAACGCGTCCCTATAGTGGCCTAGTGTCTTGGAATTACTGTGGATCAGGCCCAGTTCTGGGCGCGGCTGGTCAGCCTTAGAGAACGCAGCTTCTAGAAGATTCCAAAGCCCAGTCGCATCCTGGCCGCCCCGTGTGCTGTCTCTGCTACAACCCCCTCCTGAATGAGGGCGAATGCATTTAGAGGATGAAACCTGTACTTCGAAGTTTTACCGTGAGCCACTCCAAGCCTGGAAAACAGGAGCTGCTTGGTCAAGGAGCGTCCTCACCCCTGAGAAGGGAGGGCCCAGGGCTTCCACTGTGCTTCACGCTGCGACAGACATGCGGGGGGGCACAAGCCCAGCGCAGACCCCGGCTGCCGAGGACAGAGGCTCTTTCTGGTCCACACGTAATGACAGCCCCTTGCAAAGGTGTTAAGTTGATCTGATGATAAACTTAGCACACGTGGCTTCTTACATCCATGGTCACCGCAAACGTGGCATCACATGGAAACTGACTTAACGTGAAAAGCCCTCCCTGCTTTCCTCTGAATCTGAATTATTTGGGGGTGTCTATATTGTATTACCTATCATCCCTGTCCCATCCATACACACTCCAGATTTCCTTCAGTGCCCCAAACCATGCCATTTTCTCATTTGGTGATTATGACGGTGCCCAACATCTTAATGCTATGGATACAATAAATGCTGATAACAAGCACAGATCCTTAATGACTTAGAGCAGAGTAAGTGTCCTACCTCCGTACGTGAAGCAGCCCAGCATCTCATCTTTATTTCTACTTTTTTATATTTATTTATTTTGAGAAAAAGACAGAGAGAGAGGGAGAGAAAGCATGAGCAGAGAGAGAGGGAGAGAAAGAATCCCAAGAAGGCTCCACACTCCTCTAGGAGCCCGACTCAAGCCTCGATCTCACCACGGCGAGATCACGACCTGAGCCGAAGTCAAGAGTCAGACACTTGAGTCACCCAGGCACCCCTCACTTTTACTTCTAAATACAGTTTAAAGATTAACCTCAAACGCTCTCCCTAGAACGTAGGGCACACACGGAACTTCTAGAGAAATCACAGGTTCGTTCAGTGGATGTACCGCTCCCCAGAGCCGCCTTCTGCCTACCTTTTCAGAGACCCTGTCCTGCGCTGGTGGCCCCATGCCAGGCAGGGCTGGAGGGGGCGGGGCCCGGCGCTTCTTCATGTCCGACTTCACAGACACCCCCGAGATGTTGCTGAGCGACAGGGATGGACCCAACGGCACGGACCGCGGATTCACCGCCGGGGAGTTGGGCGTGGTGAGGCAGCCCTGTGGAGGACGGGGAGAGAAACTCATCAGTGTGAGGTCACTGTGTGTGACACACTGTGTGTGTGTAGGGGTGCTCCAACCTGAAAAACAAGTGCGAAATGCCCATCCAAGCTTCCAGTATCGTTCCCACTGCTGGGCTTGAAGGGCTTGAGCAAAATGTTCACTCTCAGTCGAAAGCCCGTATTTTCCCTATGGTGGAAGATACTCTATTGACACATTCAAAGACTCTCTTGACACTGCAAAGGTTTCTTCTCTTTTCTTTTTAATGGTTATTTAGTTTTGAGAGAGAGAAAGAGACAGCATGAACAGTGAAGGGGAAGAGAGAGAGGGAGACACAGAATCCAAAACAGGCTCCAGGCTCCGAGCTGTCAGCACAGAGCCCAACGCGGGGCTCGAACCCACGAACCATGAGATCATGACCTGAGCCAAAGTTGGATGCTCAACTGACTGAGCGCCCCCCTCCCCAGGTGCCCCACAAAGGTTATTTTCTTAATCACGCAGGAAAGGACAGACCTCTGAAGCCTCTGAGAACCTTTACCAGCTGGACTTGTTTAACACTCCTGACCAAACCGCAGGTGGGAATTAGCCACCTTTAAAATGTGAACTTGTCAGCAACCCTGCCCTCTCTGTGATAAAAGGAGCTTGTGCAGGGTGCCCAGGGGGCTCAGTTGGTTGAGCATCCAACTCTTGATTTCTGCTCAGGTCGTGATCCCAGGGTCGTGGGATGAAGCCCCACGCCGGGCTCTGTGCTCCCAAGGTGCCTGCTTGGGATTCTCTCTCTACCCCTCTCCCCTGTTGGCACACACTCTCACCCTCTAAAAAAATGAAGAATAAATAAAAGGAGCTGGTGGAGAAGCTTTTAAGTGAACAGCAAGATCTGTGCATTTAAAACAAGTATTTAGCGGGGTGCCTGGCTGGCTGGTCAGTAGAACATACGACTCTTGACCTCGGGGTCGTGAGTTCAAGCCCCACATTGGGCATAGAGCTTACTTAAAACAGAGCAAGTAAAATAAATATGTAAAGGAAACCCATCGGGCAAAAGCCCAGTATTATCTGTGCTCAGACTCAAATCCTATTCTGTTCTGCCAAGTTTACTATCACTCAGTTCCCTGAGAAAATTTTTTGAGACTCAGATTTTCTTGTTCATAAGCATTTTTTTTAATTAAAAAAATATTTATTTTTGAGAGAGAAAGCACAAGTGAGGGAGGGCCAAGAGAAAGGGAGACAGAGGATCCAAAGCGGGCTCCACACTGACAGCAGGGAGCCCGATGTGGGGCTCCCATGAACCGCAAGACCATGACCTGAGCCAACGTCAGACGCTCAAACGACTGAGCCACCCGGGTGCCCCTCTTGTCCATAAACATTAAAGGCAAAGGAAACCCCATGATCTCTGGAGGTGGCTTTTTATGCCATGCTTCCTTGTGAGACACTGGGCGCCAGAGGAATCCAATCTCCCCGTGGTTATCTCTGAAGCACGCATGGCCCTGTCTGGCATCCACAAGCCTGACGTTCAGGACCAGGCGTTTCACAATCCTGCTGCTACAACCACTTATGTTCGCTCCGCCCTGTCTAGACTCAGGACTTCCAATTCCTCTTGTCTTCAGCCCTTGCCACAACTATGTGTGCCTGACCGATCACTCAACATGGCTGTGAATCCACCTCTGTCCTTCAGATGCAGTTTTTTGGGAAGCTCTGTGAAGAATACACCCTGAAAGGTACTTTGCAGGTCATCCATTGAACGTTGATTTCAGGGTTTAATCCCATAATCCTATTGCCCTTTTAGTACCCACATCTCAGGGAGGAATCCAACACCCCCACCACACGCACGCAGGGATCTTCTAGTAGGAACGCTCTCATAGTCTCATCTTTAAAAGAGGGAAATTCTGGGGCACCTGGCTGGCTCCGTCGGTTAGGTGTCTGACTCTTGGCTTCAAGAGTCAGCTCAAGTCCTGATCTCACTGACAGTGTGGATCCTGCTTGGCATTCTCTCTCCCTCTCTCTCTGGCTCTCCCCCTGTGTTTTTTCTCTCTCTCTCTCAAAGTAAATAAATAAACATAAAACATTTTTAAATTCCATTGACTTCAAATTGCTGTTAACACCTAGCATATTTTTGTCATATTATAGGTGATTTCCTTCTTCTCTTCTCCGCTAAGTATTTTTGGTAAGCATGACCTCACGAGGGCCAAGGAAGATGGCCTTAGACAGCAGAAAGTCAGAAGCCCATGGGGCACCTGGGTCACTTAGTCAATTAAGCGTCAGGCTTTGGCTCAGGTCATGATCTCACAGATGGTGGGTTCTAGCCCTGCAGCTCAGAGCCTGGAGCTGCTTCAGATTCCATGTCTCCCTCTCTTTCTATGCCTCTCCTGCTCATGCTCTATCTCTCTCTGTCTCTGGAAAATAAATAAATGTAAAGCCAGAAGCCCAGGGCACACCCCATCGCAGGTCCCCACAAGCTGGGGTCTCTGTTATCCTGGCCAACAATGTGCTTCTCATGATCCATCATCTGTGTTTCTGGAACACCTCTAAAGTTTGACACAACAGGTTGATATAGCTCCAGTCTGCCCCATATGGGCCACACAGATCTCTCCCAACATGCCACCATTCACACTCACAGGCAGGCCAATCTCAGGGCCCCTCAGACCTGCGTCTATCAGCGCCGCCCGAGAACTCTGCCATTCAGTAAGTAGTGTTGCTCAATCTTCAACCCATGGGCAGTCAAAATATTCAAAACATTTTGGCTGCCCAGAGGATATCTGTGGTTTGTCAGATATTTTTCCTTTTTAATCTTTTGACTCCCTTTACCCACTTTTTCACTCTCCTCCCTGGTTGCCTCCCCTCTGGCAACCAGACGTGTTTTTTTGGTGGGTTTTGTTTTGTTTTTTGGTTCTGCATATAAGAGAGATCGTGCAGTTTTTGTCTTTCTTCTCTGTGACTTATTTCACTTAGCATAATGCCCTCGAGGTCCATCCGTTTGGTCACAAGTGGCAAGATTTCGTTCTTTTTCTTTTTTTTTTTATGGCTGAATGATATTCCGCTGCGCATATATGAGTATACATATAAATATATTAGAAGGAGTTTCTTTACATGTTCATCTGTAGATCTAGGGGTTATTAGGTTGTTTCTGTATCTTCACTATTGTAAATAGCACCACAGTGAACTCAGGGGTGCTTAGATCTTTTCTCTTTAGTGTTTTCATTTTCTTTGGATAAATACCCAGAAGTTGAATCGCCATATCTGGTGGTTCTATTCTTTAACTTTTTTGAGGACCCTCCATACCATTTTCCACAGTAGCCGCACCAGTTTGCATTCCCACCAACGGTGCACGAGGCTTCCTTTCCTCCACACCGAAACTTGTTATTTCATGTCATTTTGGTAATGTCCATTTTGACAGGTGTGAAGTGGGATCTCATTGTCTTTTTGATTTGTATTTCCCTGATGATGAGTGAGGCTGAGCATCTTTTCATGTGGCTGTTGGCCCTCTGGATGTCCTTTTTTTCAATGTTTTATTTATTTTTGAGAGAGAGAAATAAAATGAGTGGGCGAGAGGCAGAGAGAGAGGGAGACAGAGGATCTGAGGCAGGCTCTGCGCTGATAGCAGAGTCCCATGTGGGTCTCACACTCACGAACCAGGAGATGGTGACCTGAGCCCAAGTCAGACGCTTAACCGACTGAGCCGTCCAGGTGCCCCTCTATGTCTTCTTTGAAAAAAAATGTCTACTTAGACCTTCTGCCCGCTATTGAATGGGATTTTTTCTTTTTTTTTTTTTTTTTTTTTTTTNCGAACCAGGAGATGGTGACCTGAGCCCAAGTCAGACGCTTAACCGACTGAGCCGTCCAGGTGCCCCTCTATGTCTTCTTTGAAAAAAAATGTCTACGACGACCTTCTGCCCGCTATATAGTGTTTTTTTTTTTTTTTTTTTTTTTTTTTTTTTACTATTGAGCTGTATAAGCTTTTTATACATTTTGGGTATTAGCCCCTTACCAGGTAGATGATTTGCAGGTATTTTCTCCCATTTGGCAGACTGTCCTTCCGTTTTTGTTGACAGCTTCCTTTGCTGAACAGAAACTTCTCGAGAACGATGTCATCACGCTGACTTATTTTTGCTTTTGTCAGGCTCAAAAACATCACCAAGACTGATATCAAGGAGCTTCCTGCCCATGTTTTCCTCCAGGGCGTTTATGGTTTGGGGTTTTAAGTTCAAGTCTCTAATCCATTGTGAGTTACTTTGTGTGTGTGTGAAAGAGAGGGGTCCAGTTTTCCCAACACTGTTTACTGAAGACACTGTCCTTTTCCCATTGTGTATTCTTGGCTTCTCTGTAAAGTGATTGACCATACGTGCATGGGTTTATTTCCGGGCTCTTTATGCTGACTCATCAATATTAAATGACATGGGAAACCAGGATAATCTATGCCACCCCGAGTCCATACAGCCTGGGCCATGTCTTACTTATTCCAATCTAGGGGCTCTTCTGTTTCAAAGTGGCAAAGTTCCATGAAGGACAGACCACAGCTTTCCTGCAACAGGGATCTGGCTTCCTGTTCTGGTCCAAATGATGACCATTTAAATCAAGCCCCCCCCTCCCAATTTGTAGGGGAGTGAGTCTTGCCTTTCTCTAAGGGTGGGTACCCCAATCTATATTTTGGCTACTGCAGTCTTGTTTTTCAGGACTTTCTCTCCCAGGAGTTCAGTCCCATGAATCATTAAGGAAAAAGCCATGGAAGATGGAGAGAAAAAGGGATGAAGTAAACACAGCCTTCAGACCCGGACCTCATGGGATCTCACGCCCTGGGCGAACAGGGTGCTGTCTGCTGGAGGGAAGTCAGGTCAGAGACGACGCTCAACTGTGTATCCACAACACCACTGATACTCAGTTAGTTTGTTTATTACATTCAGGGTACAACGATGACTTGATCCTGTCTCACACACGCACATCGGGGAGGAGACGAATAAAAAGAGAAATAAAAACTCCCAATTTCAGGATCTGTGTCCCTGCTCAAA